ATAATATGACTTCAGAAGATGTAGGTAGTTAGTATTCTTTCAAATACAGTTTTAAAGCTTGCTCACTAATAATGAGGAGGATCACCTACCCTTTCTCTGTGAAATAATTCTCACACCAAACATAGTATAGGCTGTTCAATTAATGACCACCAAATGAATGCATGGATCTGCATAGATTTTCTGAAAAACAGAGATCACTGATCAGTTGAATTAGCCAAATTCAACTGGCTCATATATTTAATAAATGTAGTAGTTTCAAAATTAGAGTTAAAAAGAATTTCAGTACTGAATGTTTTTTTGTAACATTGGAGTAATGTTACAATACATGGACTCTTTCTCCACATGGCACAAAATAACTGGGGCTGAGGCTAAATACACTGGGAATGGGGTCTGTTTCTCACGGTACCTGGTGCTTCCTTTCGTGTCATATTTGGTCTTCACTCACATGTGTTAGTTCCCTGGCAATAGACTTTGTAACTCTCTGAGTTAAGTTTTAATGTGTTACTACCGTCTTTGAATGAAAGGCCTACCCCTCATCACCATCGGCCATCCTCAGCAATAGAGCACCTGATAAATACTGAATCATCTTTTAAAAACTAGCTCAGCTAACACATTGATTTGAAGCCTTCCCTCATACCATTTCCCGAGTATAAATGCCCCATACCTTGTACATTTATTGGTAGATGTACATCTTGTTTAAATTTTTTTTTTCAATGTTTATTTATTTTTGGGACAGAGAGAGACAGAGCATGAACGGGGGAGGGGCAGAGAGAGAGGGAGACACAGAATCGGAAACAGGCTCCAGGCTCTGAGCCATCAGCCCAGAGCCTGACGCGGGGCTCGAACTCCCGGACCGCGAGATCGTGACCTGGCTGAAGTCGGACGCTTAACCGACTGCGCCACCCAGGCGCCCCATACATCTTGTTTAAAGTGTTGTAACTTTGGGTTCCCTTGGATTCTCTATGAATTATGAACTTTCCAAGATCACACAGTCATCTTCATTTCTGTAATCTCAGTACCTACCACAGTATCTGAAGGTTTGTAAGAGGTCTCAAATGTTAGATGGTGGTTAAATGGCTAACAACGCATAGTGCTGGCATTATACCCCTAGTCCACTGACAAACTGTCCAAGACCACTTCAATTCCTCTGACCTTTTAAGTTTTATCTTGGATATTATTAGTTCCTCTAGATAAAAGCATGTACCTTATGAAGAGTGCCAAATTAGCCTTGCCATTTTTCTCTTAGCTTCCTCTACTTTTCTTACAGTATTTATATTATTATTTTCGCCTGATTCTCTTCCTCCCCTATCATAATCAATTTCCTAAAGGAAAAAGGCCATGAAATATTTATGTCTCCATCCTATCATGTAGCACAATACTTAACACAGGTTAGAGACGCAGCAAATGTTAGAGAATTTAGTTTAATTAAATTAACATTTGGAGTTTATTTGACTGAAATGTGGTTATAATGTAATGAGTCAGATGATTGTTCTTGTTGGTCATCAGAGTTGGATAGATTTTAGAAAACTCCAACAGAAGGTATTAACAAACAGATATAATGAAATTCAAACAGATGGCCAACTACCATGCCAAGTTCATTCTTATTTTGATACCTTAGATAATTATTATGGTGAGCCCTGACATGCATATATTTTGATAGCCAAAATTATCATCATTCACTACATTCATTTTTGTGCGAGCCAATAAATCAATGAATGTAATAATTTTCCTAGTATATTTGGATTGAATAAGTAATTTGGAGGATTTTTAAATGATTAATTTTGCTAAACCCTGAATCCTTTTTTAGGAAGATTATTTGTAAAAAATACAATTTATTTTGTTTTTGCCTGGCCACCATCTGACACAGAAAGATTGTGCCTCACATAGTCTTATCTGTGGAAACCAAGTACAGTTTTATGCCTTACACTGAAATAATTTTTCTATTGTCTTTCAAGTAGTTATAAGTATTTTGTACTTTAATCTGACTTTGTGGTTATAGAAACATTGAGGAATGTTATAGCTCCAGGGGAGACTTAAAAATACAGTGCTCAGATTCCTCCCTCCAAAAATGAAACCAGTCTCTACGAAGTAGATCAGAAAACGAATGTGCTGTATTGACAGTCGATAGATACTCTATTATCAGTTCAGTGTTTTGATTCTGTTCTATTTATGTTTTATAAATTTTAAGTTGACATGCTACTGGCAGCATCAGATACCGGGTGTTTCGTAACTCCTCTTTGTAAAAGTGATTCAATTAAAACCACAGTTTAGAGTCGTACTATTTATACATGTTCAAAATTCTTCTCTGTACCCGAGATTCTTGCTAGCACTTGGCACTTTTAGGTGCTCCTATGTGAAAATGTTTAAAACGAGTCGTTGGTAGGTCCTATTGATAATATGAAAAGAGAGTCAAGCATTCCATTTTGTTATTGAATAATGTTAGCTTTATTGTTATAATAGAATACAGTATGACATAAAATTAAGAGCTTTTGCTAAACTCTGTAAAGCAATACATGCATCTGCCATAAACAACCTCGATTCATGTTAGGTTTTATTGCCACTTCACTGCACTGAGGTGCAATAAACATTCAGCGTCATCTTTTAAAAAATGTTCCTGGGAATAAACAGGAACTGTCCTCTATAAGAGTGTATCTTTATTTTCAAGGAAGACTTAACTAGTATTACATGGTTTAGCAAAGCACTGTAGAAAAGCTACATAGAATAATTTATCTTTGATAAATTGTGCAGTCAATTTATACAATAGAATACTATCCACACACACTAACAAACTAAGAAATGATAGAAATGCAATCATTGCATAGCAGAAAGCAGACTAATAAGAAATATTCACATCTAATGAGTAAAATACAGACCAAATGTTAGGCATGAGGAGTCTGGAAGATAAAATGCTCTTAATAAACACATTAAGTTAACGCCGAAAAATAACAGATATAAACAGCAACACGGATGTTAGAGCCATATATATATATTTTTTATTTTCTATACATGATATCTACACATGATACCAGAGGATGAAACGTCCTTGGTTCAGTCTTTATTGGCCTAGCTCATTGAATTTAGGCAGGACCAAATCAAACAATAAAGCACATTTAAAAAGAAAACCAGAGTTTGCTTAGGAAAACACAAACTGTGTTTTTTCCTACATCATTGGATAGCAGCTTTTTGAAAGAAACATTGCTCAAAAGTTGGATATGGATCCCAATGGACTTATTTGGCAATTATGCTGATAGGTTTATATGTCGTAGCATTTTAAGTGTGGTTAGACTATGACCTGTGGATTCTGGATGCTAATTTTAAACATCTCTGAAATTCTGTTAGACAAAAGGAGACTTCAAAAATACCTTCTGCATAAATATTCATCTCTAAAACTTCTGGGAAGTAATGAAACAGACCAGAATTTTTATAGGGAGTATTAATGGACCTCCTATAGTTAAAGCCCTTACATAGTATACCTACAAATATATTGCTACAGTATAAATGAAATGTAATAATGTTACTCAATAAAAGCTATTTCCTGTACATTCTTTCATGTATTTTTATATTTAATGCTACATATGGTACAACACTTATTGAAATAATTGGTATCAGCAAATATAGCGATAATATACAGTTGATCTTCTAGCTCCAACTAATGCTTTTCCATTTTCTTTCTATTTTACAAGAGCCTAAAATAGGGAAATGTGGCATGACTTGAGCAGATAGCAGCTGATTTACTACTGTACCCCAGATAATAGTTCGAAATTACAAGCTTTCTCTACATAAGTAGACTTTATATTTTAAATTCCATCTGATTCCCACAGGCTGTTCTGTTCTTAATGCAGGCTCTAAAGGTATTTCCATATAGCACTTAACAACATTCTAACAGCTAAGAGCGGTGAGTCCTACACAATATTTTAAGAACACAACTTTAAAAAAGTAAAAAATGTACAATCTCATGCTGTATATTTACATATATAATTTGTTTATATAGTCTATATTTGTTTACTAATCATAAATTTCAATCTAAAGCTTTTAATGTACTGTTATATAAAATAATACATTCAACAATTCTAGAGCTTGCAAAATAGGTTTGCCTCTCTAAAAACATCTTCATAATGAGTATCAAGTGATTATTGGACCCATGTGCTATTTGGATATAGACAAGGTGGCAAAGGGAATATTTTTAATTGTTTTATTTCATTTTTATTAATATTTTTTTTTAGTTTTTAGTTTTTATTGAGTGTATGTCTCTGTTAAAATGATTTCTCATCGAAGCAAGTGGTAAAAGCTCAGATGATGATGAAGTAGCCTATTTAAAGCATTTCTCTTTTTTGGATTAAATGCTTAAGGAACTGTACGTTTGCTTATGCAATCTTCATGGATTCTAAAATAGCATTTAACAGCAATATAATGCACTAGCCATTTTTAAAAGGAGGAAAAAAATTGGGATCTTTAGCTTTGGAAACAAAGTGTTAAAGCTATACATCCGTTCAAAAAACAAAACAAAATGTAAGCACACTGTAGTTTGTGCAATAAAGACATAGATTTTTAAAATTGTTGTCATTAAACATTTATAATGTATTCTTTGAAACACCTCCACATAAAAATATTTTTGACATATACAGTATCTTTTTTTTAGAATATTTGGAAATAAATATCTACAAATGACCTGGAGTTACAGACTTAAGTTTTATTTTCCTTCTACTTTCCCTCATAGCTTGGACCTCCTTCCCCACCTTTCCTCTCTGTTTCATTCTGTCTCCTTCTGTCGTGATTTTTCTCTCTCGCTTCCTCTCTCAGAATCCTGTCTCTCAGCTGTATGTTCTGCTTTGCTCTGGACTGCTGGACAGGGGTCTGTTGTTCTCGTATGAATTATGGAAATAAGGAAACCTTCAAATTCTTTAAGACAGAGGCAAGAAAGCAGATGGGAATCACCGCGTTGAGAACAGAAAGCAATTCCCAGTGCAGAAGACTGAACAACGGAATGTGAATAGAAGGACTTATTGATGTGGGGTGGGGGCTTTCAGCTGAGGCTCTCTGTTTAAATATGTAGCCCAGTAGACCAAGTTAAAGATTCCGAATAGCAGCGGGAAGGCTATTCTTGACAGTCGGTCAATTTTGCTGACACTGTTAAAGGTTTTCTTGGGTTCTGGTGGTTTTGTTTCCGGCTTGACTTCTTTGGGTTCTATGGTTGCACTTTTAGCAATCGTGGCTAAGCCAGGGTCACCCCTGGCCAAATTCGGGGTATAGCTGGTTGCTGTTGGAGCATAAGTGTTGTTTTTCTTAATGAGAGGATCCTTCACTTTCTTTGGCTGTCGAAGGAAAGAGTAAAAGCATTTTGTTCAGTAAACTGTGGGAAGGAAGTTTATAAGTTGCTGAGCAAAATCTATACTTTGATTAATATGTAAGAAATGGAATGTATACCTGCTTTATTGAGACAAATTAAAAATGCAGACACAAATGCCCAGTTATAAGATTGACAAGTTTGGGCATCTACTGTACAGGATGGTGATTATACCTAGAGACATACATATACTTATCATATACTATGATATACTAAATACATATCATATACTTGAATGTTGCTAAGGCTAAGTCTTAAATGTTCTCACCACAAAAAAAAAAAAAAAAAAAAAAAAAAAAAAAGAAATGGTAACTTTGTGATGGGATGGAGACAGTAGTAGGGTAGGGTAGGGTAGTAATGACTTCATAATATATGAATGTATCATCAATCATATCAACTACATGGTATACCTCAAACTTACACAATATCATGTGTCACATATCAATAAAGCTGGGGGAAAAATGCAGACACAGTATTTTCCAGGCTTCCCTATCAAGAGGTAGAGTGATGTGATGCCATGTTAGGAGCCTATCCTCAAGAAGCTTTGCAGCCTCAGCATTTACCCTCTGAAAACATTACTGCCTCATGAATTAGCTTGGACTAGAAAACTGAGTGACCAGAGACCATGTACAGTGAGAAGCCCAGTCCCAGTGTCAGGCCCCAGATGAGTGAGAGGCCATTGTGGATCCTCTGCTCCTGATGGAGTCTCCAGTTTACTGCAACCATGTTGGTGAGCCCATATCCTAATAGAAGTACCACCAGGTTGCTCCCAGCCCCACACGCCTGGAGGTTGCTGTAGGTCACTAAGTTTTGAAGTGGTTTGTTTTGCAGCGATGAGTTGCTGAGACAACAATTATTTGCTCCTTCTCCCCAGGTTGCAAGTGGGCAAATGATAAAACAGTTATTCAGGGTATCTTGAAGCCAATTTCTTGTTCAATGTCAGCGGCTTGTCAATGTTATCTGCACAACTGCAGCATTTCTTGGGGTTTCTATCATATAGACATTTCCAAAAAATGAAGTGGATCATTGTTCACAGCTATGTGGTCTGATATACTGTCATTAGCCACTTGTGACTATTGAGCACTTGAAACATCGCTACTCTGAGATGTGTGTAAGTATAAAAATGGACACAGGATTTTGAAGGCCTAGTATAAAAAAAGGAAAAGAATGCAATATATCTCTTTAATAATGATTTTTATTGTTTACACATTATAAAGATGCTATTTTGGATATATTGGTAAAAGCATATTACTAAATCACTAAATTCTACACCTAAAACTAATATTACACTATATGTTAACTAACTGGAAACTAAATCAAAACTTGAAAAAGAAAACAAAAAAAATTAATTTCCCTGATTTGTACTTTTGAAAAAAGCTAATAGAAAATTTTAAATTATATACATCATTCACATTTGTGGCTCACATGTTTCTGTTGGATAGCAGTAGTTTAGAAGAGTAGTTCTCATTCTTTTGTGCACACTAAATCACTAGTTAAACACTTTTAAAGGGCAAATATCTTGGGCACAATCTCATATTTTGAATCAGAAAACCAGAAGTGGAGTCTGGTTACTGATGTTCCAAAAAGGTATAGAGAATACTGATGAACAGCTAAACTTAGCCAACCAGACTCAATGTTCTCTGAATAATCCGCATTTTTATTATTGAATCAGAATAAAATTTTACTACCAAAAGACCTGATGCTCTTCACAAGAAATACTAGTTAATTTTAACAGGTTAATTTCTTTATTATCCAGCCCTGTGATGTCTCTGTTACCTTTTCCCCTCCTTCAAATCTGTAAACATTACATTAGGACGACAACAGAAAGCCCAGAAATTGTTTTTTTCTAGTATTACATCATAAAAAGTAAGGCCACTCACTCTAACTGTACTCCTATTTTATAGTGAAGACAGATTTGGTTAAGCTTTATGAAGAATGACAGAAAGTTCCATAATTATTTGTACAAAACTGAGGCAAGTAAAAGTAATTCTCTCTTTCACTGTCAAAATGACTACAGGTCAAAAATAGATATGGTTTAGTAAGTTACACAGAGAAAGACAAATACCACATGATTTCACTTATATGTGGAATCCAAAAAACCAAAACAAATGAATAAATAAACACAAAGCAGAAACAGACCCACAAATACAGAGTAGGGTAGGCAAATACAGAGGGGGGAAGGCAAAATGGGGAAAGGGGAGTGGGAGATACAGGCTTCCAGTTATGAAATGAGTCATGAGAATAAAGGCACAGCATAGGGAATATAGTGAATGGTATGATAATGGCATTGTATGGTGACTTGGTAGCTACACATGTGGTGAGCATAGCATTAAGGTGTAGAGTTGCTGAATCACTATGTTGTAGGCCTGAAGTAATGTAACATTTTTTGTCACCGTACTAGAATAAAAAAAAGATATGGTTTGTTTCAACACAGTTAAACAGCCAAACTGAACTTGTAATAGTCCACTTCTTAAAAAATAAGAATTCTAATACTGCAGAATACAAGCATGCGTGTCCTTTAGATAAAATGTATATGTACTCTGATGTTGAAGAGAGGCAATGGGTTCCAATCTAAACAAAACTTGTTGAATGACAGACACCCTATTAGATAAGCTGAAATGGGTAATCAGCAACAAGAATAATTCTTGGAGGAGAGTTTATATTATTAATAGATTTCATTTCTCCCAGTGCCAAATTATTATAGTACTCCAGTACTAGAATACTAAAATTTATCAAGTTAAGTGCTTTTATTTGCAACATCAAGTTGAATAACATATTGAGAAATATCTGGCTGGCTTATCAGGAAAGAGCACTTAACATTTTTTTTTTTAATTTTTAAGAACGTTAAGCTCCCCATATTCTCTAAGAAGCTGGTGTTTCTTTCAGCAATTTAGTATATGAGAATGGATTTAAGCCGGCTACTGAATGTTGACTTGATAATGTGATGACTTATGGAAATTTTCTTTTTATTTTCAAGTTATATCATGTTAGAGACTGAAATTTAACTCTCCTGATCATAGAATACACTCATCTGGTCATACAAAAAAATATTTTATTCATCCTCTCTGAATGTCAAAACGAGACCTGGGTCACATTGTGATCACACTCCCTGTAATAAGCAAATCAAACTGTCAAATCCCTGGGGAAGATTTTTACAGAGGCATAGATAATTTACAGAAAATATTGTCTTTCTTCTTAGGATGATAGATATAGATGATTCGCTGATAAATATATATGTGTGTATATATATAGGTAAGATATGACTATACCTATATCTACATTTGTATACTGAATAACATAGACTATAGACTGATAGAGATTAGAATATTTTCATTTGACACAGGACTTGGAAACCTAATACAGCATCAGACAGAGATAAATATAAACTTACCTGTGAGCTCAACCAATGCTGCAACCTAAATTCTATGTTTTCCAGACCAAATTCATGTAACAAATCACTAACAACCAATACTGATGAGCCAGAATCAGAAAGACACTGGTCTCATGCAGCAAAGTATTAAGACAGAAAAGCAATTTTTTCCAATGTTTGCACATCACTTCAGTTGCATATCACCCACGTTTGCATATCATTAATTCTGAAGAACTTTAGTAGACTATTCCAGTGATTCTAAGATGTGCATTTAAAAATTGTTCACATCTATGACTCTGGGCTATGTCTTACGACTGGTAGTGTCTTATGATTACCCATCTCTATGTTTGGCTCTCTCTCCTTTGGGCTGCTCTTCTTTTCTAGGACAAATGGAGGCCATCAGTGGCTAAAGTAAGTATTTGACAATTACTCTGTCTTCACTCTTTTCATTCCTCTCTCCAACTAGTCAACACAATCCCTTTGTCTTATCTCCTCTCTCTACTGAACCCGAGCCAAGGTTCTTGGTTTGAAAATTCAGAGATTTTTTTTTTTTAATACTTGCCAAGCATGTTTCAAGGGAAGGCAAATTTTGAGGGTGTGGTTCAGGTACTGTTGGCTGCCACAGTGCATTCTACACAGAGCCTTCCTTCGCTTTTACCTGTGTAGGAGAGCATGGGGGTGTTCAGCTGATTGATCTGGGGTAGATCTAAAAGGGCTTTTACTTGGCAGTATATTTTCTTTCATATGCATATATTAATGACTCATCTTATAATCAGTAACACTATAAATTCATTTAAATACGGTAGATGTTTCCACCACAAAGCATTCCTTTTTCTAGTACATCTGTAGAGCTATGAGGAAAACACCATTAAATTAATTTCTTTACTATAGACCCTTTCAGATTCTCGAACACATTGTGACTCTGTGATATAGTATACACCATTATATAAGTGTATTCAACCACACAACTTTATTTTTAGGGACTAGCTCATGAGATTAGTACTCTGAGGAACAGAATTTTGGGAAAACTACTATAGAGTGAATTCTTCTAAATTACTTCTAGATGTCTTACAATCTCTGTGTCTCTGACTTTGACCTTCTTTCTACCATCTGAAGGTTCACCTGCATTTTGACATACTTTACTTTCAAGCCACAGAAGTAGAAATATCCTCCTTTCATGTTCTTTAAAATACACTCTAGAATAGATTCTAATTTAGAAAAACAGTAATGAGCTGTACTTGATAATTTTCTACAAAGAAGAATTTTTCTGTGATTTCTGTGTATGATCCTTAAAGCAAAACTCTAATTTGGGGAAAGAAATATCTTTATTGCCCCTTGCTTTACTGAAAATTGGAGATAATGCATCTCACAAACTCAATTCCACTGAGGCATTATAGTCATAATATTTATGACCAAGGTGATTAGGCTCAGAAAATGACCAAAAGGCTATGATTTTCAAATTCTAAAAATTATAATGGCATAGCTTTATTTGCTCCTAATATCAGGTTGATTAAAACTGTTCTCAAATCGATGGAGGGCACAGGAAAGCATACTTGAGTAGAAATGTTCTCCTTCATCTCTCTATGATCTCCTTACTCTACTCTGCTCTGCCCATCTGCCCACTCAAACAACCCCTTTCTTTAGCACTACCAAAATTACCATAGCACATAGTCACTGATGATATAAGAAACAAAGAATCCTCATCACCCTGTCTCTGCATTCTTCAGCCATTTCCCAAAGTCTGAACATGCCATCTCACAGGGCTAATAAGACATACCAGTGATGCATTACAGGGGATCTTAAAGCATTTACCTTTTCTGGAACCACACTTTTGCCATCCCATGCATAACCTCTCTTGGTGAAATAATTTACTGTGGCAAACTCGATCAGAGCCGAGAACACAAAGGCATAGCACACTGCAATGAACCAATCCATAGCAGTTGCATAAGCCACCTTCGGAAGGGAATTTCTGGCACTGATACTCAAAGTTGTCATGGTGAGCACAGTTGTTACCCCTGTAAAGAGAGAAATTAAGTGAATTTGTAGGTTCATACTGCAAAATTTGATCACTGGAGGCCAACCTAGTTGTGCAAAAGGTAACCAACAGTGCCATAGATACAGTGGGTTGTTTTTGTTGTTTTTTAATCATCCCATGTTGGTTTGGGATGAATGAGTTTTAATACAACCCCAGTGTAGTGTATAGTTCATGGTATGGCAGTATTGAGGGGGATCTCTTGGAGAGATAAACTGCTCCGCTACCGAGAAGCTGTTAATAAAATCATGAATTCCCTTAAACGGGCACCTTGAACAAGGTGTCCTGGGCAGGGAAGGAAACAGTACTGTCTCACTGTCCCCAACGCTTTCAAACAGAAAGCATAGATCTTCATTGTCTCTGATCCACAAGAAATTGTTGTATCCTCATCTCTGTTTAATATTCTATCTGCATATCATAAATGTATAAACCAAGAAGCTAGTAGCTTCTTGTTAATCAATAATTGATAGATAATTGAATTATTTTAGGATAATATTTTGCTACATTGTTAACTTTTCTGCTTTTATACTATTTTCCCCCTAATTCTAAAATAGCTCCTCTTTGGGGCACCTGGGTAGCTCAGTTGGTTGAGCTCCTACTCTTGATTTTGGTTTAGGTCATGATCAAACAGTTCGTGATTTCAAGCTCTGCATTGGGCTCTGTGCTTACAGTGTGGAGTCTACTTGGGATTCTCTGTCTCCCTTTCTCTCTGCCCCTTCCCCTCTCACTCTCTCAAAAATAAATAAATAAACATTAATATAATAAAATAAAACAGCTCCTCTTTTGAAGAAATTCCTGAAATAAGTTGCATGTCATTTGCTTGAGGTTATACAGCTCAGAAGTGGCAAGACAAAAATACGAACACAAGTTTGTCTGATTCAAATGTCCACAATCTTTCCCCTTTTTTTGGTAATGCTGCCTCATTTGCCCGATTCTGTGAATCCATTCCTAGTGATTAATGTTACCTATATTCAAAGCAGTTTTCAAACCAGTTGTTTTTAGCTTATTTAGACAATTATGAGTTGGTATGTGAATGATATCCATTAATGTTCATTTAATAAATTGATACAATCAACCTACTATATGCAAAACCCTATAACAGAAGCATTGTAATGTACCTCTTAAGCCATTTGAAAATGTATTAAAAAACTCACAGTAGTCCCATAGGGGTGGCTCAGGCTGCATGGTATGGAAAGACTTCTAACCTCTTCCAGTGACTAGTCCCAACCTTACCACTTACTAGCTCTATGGCCTCAAGTAGGCAAATTTACTTGTAGGGACCTCAGTCTCCACATCTGTAAAAGGGGTGATTTACATTTCATTCTCTCAACTATCTATAATTGTTAAAATTATCAGAAAAACTTCTGTACAATTTTTCACAAGATTACTTGAGGATTAAATGTAATAATAGGTAAAAGAATTTTAAAGATGGTAAATTATTTCCATGGAAGATACTGTCATCTCATGTCTAAAACTCATATCTATGATTACCCTTTTGGATTAATATTTAGAGAATCAGCAGTGTCACACAGCTGGTAAGTGACTAATTTTTCTAAGCTGCTTTAAGCCATCCAATATTTCCTAGTTTTCCATGAATTTTAAGGTAGATGATCTTTGTAACTATGTTACGGAGTGATAAGATTAAAAAGAAACATTGAGACTTTTATTAAATCATATTTTTTTGATACATGGTCACAGATATAGGGAGTAGACTTACTCTAAATTTTGGAGGTGTTACAGAAAGTTCTGGGGAATTATCTGTATTATATAACCAACAAATGGTTTAAGAAATATTGGCCGGTAAACAGTTCTTAAATTTACATATCAGTATTAACTTGAGCTAAGAGCAAAGTAATTAAATGTCAGTATTTGAGGAACTGAACAACCCAGTTCAAATCCCAACTCTGTAATTGCTGAATGACCTTGGGAAAACTGCCTCACAATCCTGAACTTTTTTTTTTTTAATTTTAATGCTTATTATTTTTGAGAGACAGAGAGCATGAGTAGAGGATGGGCCAAGAGAGGGAGACACAAAATCCAAAGCAGGCTCCAGGCTCTGAACTGTCAGCAGAGTCTGACACAGGGCTCTAACTAATGAACCACAAGATCATGACCTGAGCTGAAGTCGGACATTTAACCAACTGAGCCACTGAGGCATC